TCTTGTTGGCACGTTGTTTCTCCCAAAAATTTCACGTAACTTTCTCATCGTCACAGTAATCGATGATTGATTTTGATAAAATGTTTTAACGATTAAAACACGTGGGTTTACCGAATATTTTTCCATAATAAATTTGCCACGTCTCTACTTCACGACTGCCAAATATGAACTATCAAGACTAATGTTTACCAAAATGGCGGCAAAACTAAGTAGTATACCTTCCCGGCGGACACCCGGTATTATCCTTCAATATTGCCTTTCTGAATTACGAAATATTTGGTTGCTTTTGTCAGAACTTTGAAAGGTCCTTCGTATCGCGGAGATAACGACGGTTTCAAACCTTCAATTCTAATGAAAACGAAATTTGATTTGTGCAAGTCTTTATGAATAAAAGGTTTTTGAATAGAGTGAAAAGACGTATTCACTGGTTTTAATTTTGAAAAAGTGTCTCTTAAACTGGAGAGGAAAGGTTCATAGTCAATAGATGGATTAGTAGGTATAAAGAACTCCCCAGGAAGTCTTAGTGGTTGCCCGTAAAGCAGTTCTGCTGAGGAGCTTCCTTAAGTGATGTTCTTAATCCTAGTAGGATGAGGGGTAGATTGTTGTTCCATCTAGTAGAATCTCCTTTAGCGATGATAGCTGTCTTCAATGATCGATGAAATCGTTCTAACATTCCATTTGCTTCGGGATGGAAAGATGATGTATGTATTTGTCGTGTGCCAAGTAATGTGTTAAATTTTGAAATTAAATTTCTAAAAATTTAGAAATTAGCTATAACTGGCGAAAGTGGAGATCCCATGGCTGCCCCTTCGAACTGCTCGTAAAATTCTCCTTTCCAGCTGAAATACGTCGACGATAAGCAATACTCCACCAGATCTGGCACGTATTCTGGTAAACCCTCCGGAATGAGTTTTCGGCGAAGACCCTCTACAGCATCCTTAACTGGTACCCTAGTAAAAAGGGATTCCACATCGAAACTTACCAACATATCCCCAGCCTCCAGCTTTACACCTTTTACCGATTCCACAAAATGTGTAGAATCCCTGACATACGA